TAATCAATAAGCAAACATCAAAATGCCCCTTAATAATGAAATTGTTGCGCTACTTTGTTCTCGTATGCCTGCGGGACAATGTCACCATCAAAGCTAAGCACATTCCTGGCGTTCAGAATAACATCGCAGATGCACTGTCCCGTTCACAGATGGCAAGGTTCAGACAGCTGGTCCCTTCTGCGGCTCACGCAGGGTTGGAAATACCCAGTTTTCTCTGGCAGCTTTGAATGCTGAGGCCGAGCAACTCCTAGGGGCATCTCTATCTAGGAGCACCTGGGTGAGCTACGATAGAGGGGTGACCATGTTTCAGCAATTTCGCCTTGAAGTTGGGTTACAACCATCATGGCCTGCTCCAAATGAGCATGTGGCTGCTTTCATTGCGTTTCTTTCCTTAAAAGGAATGGCACCACCCACAATTACTTCTTATATTTCGGCAGTGGCATTTGTTCACAAGTTGAAGGGATGGGCAGATCCCTCCCAAAATTTTATAGTACAGAAACTCAGAGAAGGTTGCCGCAGGCGGAATCAACAGTCTGACACTAGACGCCCCATCACTTTAGATTTGTTAGAAAAAATTTGTCATGTCACAGGGTCAATCGCGAAATCGAATTTGGAGGCTTCCCTGTTTCGCGCAGCATTTGTGCTGGCCTTTTTTGGGTTTTTCCGAGTGGGGGAACTGACTGCAGCTAGCATGCAGACAGATTGCTCACAGATCTTGGGAGTGGGCGATGTGTGGTTTGTGGGGCATGACCAGCCGGTGATGCTGGTCAGACTCAGGTATTCGAAAACTGACCAACAAGGTAACTCGGTGACATTAAAATTCTGCCCCCACACAAACGCGCAAATTTGTCCAGTGCGCTCGGTAACTCACTACTTAACATTGCGCCCGCCCTTGGGCCACTGCCTGTTTGTGCATGCAGACGGCACCCCCTTAACGGCATACCAATTTCGCCACATGCTCAAAAAGTGTCTGGAAATCCTGGGAGTGCCCACTTCTGGTTTTAGTGGCCACAGTTTCCGCATTGGGGCTGCCACTTCGGCAGCCTTACAGGGCATGTCAATTCCTGACATCCAATCTGCGGGCCGGTGGAGATCAGCAGCAGTAAATAGTTACATTCGGCCAGATAAAGTTTGATCCATACCCGTGATATGCCAAAAGTAGGCCTCTCCCTATTAATTACAACTACCATACTTGTTGCTGGTTGTGTTTCTTTTATTTATCCAATACAGGGGTGGTAAGGACTTGGGTGATAGGTGACAGCATAGTGTACTGGGCAGGGAAGGCCGTGTCCAGGGGCTCTCCATCACACCACATCCAATGGTTCGGCATCCGAGGAGCTCGTTTGGCAGAGTTAATCCCCACTCTCAATAGGTTATTAAAATCAGGGCCTGCACCTCACGCCCTCGTCATTCATCTAGGCACAAATGATCTGTTCTCCTCACCAATAAACGAAATCCGGGAAAAAATTGAGGAGGGCCTCCTGAAAACCCGCAGTCTGTTGCCTAACG